AAAAAAAAAAAAAAAAAAAAATCGAACAATAACATCAAATTTATCTATAATTCGGATAAATTGAAAGCCCTAATCTCCAAAAACTCTAACCCCAACAACAACCAAACAATACAAAATTGATAATTTACACACAAAATTCCAATCTCGAATTTAACATACATACATAATCGATAATCAATTAGTAATTTACAATCTTCAAACACTAACACATTCAAACATATTATAACAATTCTCAATCTCCAAACAACTCCAAACATTGTAAAAAGTTAAGATAAGTCAATATACCTCGTGCGAATGAATTAATCGGAAAGGAGTCTCGTGTCGTTGTTGTCGGTTCACGCCGGGGTGAGAATTGGATCGAGTTTTTTTTTTCCGATTGTTTTCGCTTGTTTCTCCTTGTTTTTCCTTTTGTTTGCTGCTCTCTCTCTGCTCTGCTCTCTGCGCAAATGAAATGGAAGAATTTTTTTTTTATATTTAATTCAAAAAACGTATTCCGAGAATACGGTTACCGACAGTTATTTTAGTTAAAAAACGTATTCCTTGAATACGATTAATGGCAGTTTAAAAACATATTTTTAAAAACGTTTTTCGTTATTTAAAAACGTATTCCGTTAATATGTTTTATATTTATTATTTTTTTTTATATTTGAAAATTAAATGAATTTTGTGTTTATTTTTTTAATTTAGGGAAAATATAAAAACATATTCGAGGAATACGTTTTTCTTAATTAATTTTAATTAGAAAAACGTATTCCAAATAAATAAGCCACCCGAGAAGAGATCGTATTTTTTTTATGAATATTGTTTATTTTATATTCAGTTTAATCATCCAACCGCAACTTCATTTCTTTACCAATTTTCAATTTTACTAGCGTTCACATGTTCTCCACTCTGACACGATGAAGCTGACTTGTGCAGTTTTCCTGGTGTCTACAATTTTGTTGGCCTCAAAATCAGCTTTGAGCATCAGATTTCCGGATCGGATCTCCAACCCGGATGGAGCAGCCGATCAGATCCTTCGTACTGCGGTCTTTGCCCTGGGCAGTTTCTGGAGGTCCGAGGCCGCGTTTGGTTGCCTGGATGGCGTCATAAGGACCTCTGCCGGTTATGCCGGCGGATCCAGACCAAGTCCAGAGTACCGAAGCTTAGGTGATCATGCGGAGTGTGTTCAGGTGGTTATATTTCTCATTCACTTTTTCGTACTGTGTTTTCAATTGTGTTTTTGCTGTCAAGTGATTGACTAGTTAATGCGGGAGATGATAGGTCAAGCTGAGAAATGAGATGCATTGTTAGTGAGAGGCGACTCGAGTTTTAAGTCCGGTTAAATTGAATATTGAGCTGTGTTTTTAAGATCTTTGCAAATTGTGGGTAACAGAGGACAGATAAATTTGCTTATGCATCCTTTGAAGTGCTTTGGTATGTGTGTTTTCTAATGAAAAAATTGTAGAGGAAAAAAATAGTGCAATTTTCTGCTGCTTGTAACTTGTCTCTAGGCCTTTGAGAAACCTGAACCCAATTTGAGTTTGGTCAATATTCTATCTGCCACGATTGAGTTCAATAAAATTGATTGTACGATGACTCATATGCAAAAATTTATTTTATGATTAAAGTTGGCTCTGATTTGGCTTAGGAGAGGCTTTTTGCCCGAGTGGGAAGTGAGGACATATGACTCTACATCTAAGAGATGTTGCATACTTGATACTTTCTTTAACTTCTTCTTGTTCTCTCCATTCTTGTGTGCAATATTTTAAAATGAACTTATTGTGGTAATAATTTGTCTTTGAACTTTTTATATATGAGTTCTACAATAGATTGCTCTCCCAAAAAAGTTTCATGTTGTAGCTTTTTTCAGAATATGGATTGTTGTTTTTGGAGAATTCTGTCTTGCTTAAAACTGGGTTGACTAACAACCTAAAATTCCATTAGACTAAAACTAGTTCACAGTTGCAGTTGCAAAATGTCTTCACAAATCACAGCAGATGTTAAAATGGCATGTCTGAAGAGCCAACACTACGTTGATTTTATTGGTGCTTTGTCTCAGAGAAATGTACACACATTCACATTGATTGCAAGCATTTAGGAAAAATTTGTCCCTTAAAAGGTGCTCCTACATGAAGGTTTCTTAAGATTTTGTAGTTTCTCTGAGAAACTGTTGGGTGATCTTATTGCTGTTTTGTCTTCGTGGTGCATGCGTGGCCTAATTATGGGTCGGAATTAAATTTTCTTGAACGGGTTTCATTACCGGTGGAATATCAGTTGAGTTTTCGAGCTTTGGGCACATTGCCAGTACAGAACAGTAGAAGGAACCACTCATTCCAATCATCCTTCAATATTGGCTGAAAATTTAGCTGATAACATTTATTTGCAGTTGCTAGGTGATTTGTGTGCTCAGTTACATCTTCTGACAAATCACGTGTTAATTGATCCATGTTTAATGCAGTTCTGAGATGTGGTGTATTGTGTGCTGTGCAGATAGAATATGATCCCCGGATCATTAGTTACAAACAGCTACTTGACGTATTTTGGACAAGTCATGACTCCAGACAAGTATTTGGGCAAGGTCCTGATGTTGGAAATCAGTACCGGTACTGTTTTTAACTTTCAGCACCTCCAACTAGCACAAGTCTTTATTAATTACTTAATCATGTGATCTGAAATGGTAATCATTATTCTTAAGCAGGTCCATAATTTTCACTAATGGGACAGAAGAATCCAGGTTTGCTGCTATTAGCAAAGAAAGGGAGCAAACTCGATCAAGGAATAGTGTCATCACCACTCAAATTCAGCAGCTAGAAACATTTTATCCTGCGGAATCCGAACATCAGGTTTGTTATTTTTGGTGGGGCAATTTTAAAGGAAAAAGATCTTCACCACAACGTAGATAATAATGATGTGGATGTTAAGTAGTTGTTGATTTTTTAAAGTGATATGATCACTGATCTGCAACTTACATGATCATAACACGTATCACATAGGCATCATGTAAAAGTTGATGTCATCCTTTATGTTAATAGAATGACCTAATTATAAAACCTGCATTAGAGGTTTGATCTATTTTGGCGAAAACCCGGCTAGCTGTTGAAACTACAGAAGTCACCTTTGAGGCTGACATCTGTCGTACAGTTTGCACTAGTTGTTACTGGAGATATCATAAACATAAACAGAATATTTTGACGACAACATCCCTGAACTTTTCGAAGAATTGCAATGACCGTACCCATTTATTTGATCTTACATTTTATAATGACACCCCTTAACTTCGTAAAATATCAAATACCCAGAAGTAACAGTGAGCAATTTGTGTAATGTTTCGAAAATTTGAGCAGTGCATTTGTGTAATAGTTGATGATTTTAGCCGCAAACTTTGTTTCTTAAAGTTGAACCAAACCTCAATGTTTTCTTTATTTTGTAAGCAAATGGGTCTTTCCACAATCTATGCCCCAAGTTTAGTTCCTGTAGCTACCCCTTATCATTTTAAAGATCTTCTTGAGAAAATAGCCTTTCATGGCGTTCCCAACTTTCCACCCTGAAAAGTCGAAAAAGGCAGCTTCACTAAAATAGATTCTGGTTATGCCTACTGCGTAGAGTTGCTTTTGGCATTAAGACTTCCTGATACAAATGCGCTTGGTAGTTCAGAATTCTCAAGTACTGATGTTCCCAATCAAGTTTTATTGTTTTTAAGTCAAACACAAGAAACTTTACAGCTTCTTACTTATAAACTGAAGAATATTAGCTTGGATAATTTTTTCCTCCGTTCTTTTAAAATCTAAATTACCTTTGACCTCCTTTGGACCGTTAGTAATTTGAAGCATTTCAGATCATGGACTAATTGACAGAAATGTTTGCCCCCACCTGCAGAAATTTGAACTCAAACAAAATCCATTTCTCCTCCAATTAATTGGCAACTTGCCAGAAGAAGAACTCCAGAGGTCCACCCTCGCAACAAAACTTAACGGCTATGCAGCAGAGCTTTGTCCACCTAGGATGCAAAGGCAGATTGATGCCAAGATCAATGACATCATAAGGAAAGGTTGGCCAATCCTAAGGGCAATTTAGCTTGGTACATTCTTCTTGTCCTGGTTGATACAAAATCCTGCTGTTCGACTTTAAGCAGTCAAGTTTAGACCAAAATCAACCAGCTGACCTTGATATTCAATGTTTATAGTAGGAGTGTGTACACTTATACATGCTGAAGTATCTCAAACTGGCGTTTTCAACTGAGCTCTGTCAATGTCGTTATCAGCCTCAAACTAATTCAAGTGTAGTTTGTGCGTGGGTTTTGACCAATTTTTTAGAATCCATGAGTCAACTTGGTCATATTTGTAATTCAATTGTATGACATAAATACTGCTGCCTTACGACATAAAATTATCACGTACTACAGATTATCAAAATTTATGAGCCATTGATGACCTCGGAGGCTTCTTTAAAGTTGGTTTTATTTCAAAATGGTTTTTGTGGAAATTTTGGAATCTCATCTTGTAGAACGCATGGTATAAAAATGTTTGAATTTACTATAAATAATAATAGTAAGGTTTTTCCGCAGATAAATCTTGCTTTTTTTTTTCTTTTGCCAAAACGATAGAGATATTATAAATCAAAATGCACAACTGTGCAAAAAGCAGCCCAAGGCTGAAAATTACAACCCGAAACTAGAAACTGAGAGAACGGATCAAAAGTCCGCCTAGAACCTCGCTAGCCACGATAGAATAGAAAAAACAAACACACAACTAACAGACACAAACACACCAACTAAGATCGCTCCCCACAGGAGAATAGAAACGTCCCTCACAGGGGAATCAGAACCAGAACCGGGGCCAACGGCCCAAATCTAAAAAACAAGACCAAAGAACACAGACAGACTCAGGCAAAGAGCCCAGACCAAAAATACTAAACTAAACAGACTCAATAACACCTATACTAACTACTACTACTAACGACCCTCCCCCGAAGATTGGCAAACTGAAAAAGCAGCAACATCCGACTCCCGGTCAGGCCCTTAGCCAAAACCCAACCCCCGAAACTGCATAAGGCCTATACAAGAGTCCGGTCCCCGCCCCTGAACCTAACCAAAGAGCCAGAACCCACCGGCCGAGAGAGAACGAGCACAGCAACCCCAACCGGGACAACCCAGACCCAGCTAACACCACTAGCTAAGCCCAGGATACCCAGATCCCTAACTTTCCAATCGAGAAGGAAAGGGATAGCCGCTCCATACCCGCATCCCAACCCCGACAGCCGCCACGCACGGAACGCGACAGCTGCTGAAGCCCCAATCTGATCACCAAGCAACTCAACCCCAATGATCCACCGCCACTGCCCAACCATCGCCCTCTCCCTTGAACCCAAGCCACACCCTGAACCACTAACCCCAAACCTCCACCCTGAGCCACAGACCACAGTCCCAAGCCAAGCCCTGACCTTTGTCATAACCTCAGGTCGCCCAATCGAGCTCAATCGAGCCCAAACAACCAGACCCAACCAAACCCAATCTGCGCCACCGACCCCCAACCGCACCAACAGAGATCAGGTCACCAACCAAGGAAGAAGATGGCGACGGACTCCCAGCCAAGCTCCACGACATCGCCGCTCGCCGATGGTCCCAGACAACGACCAGAAGCCACCAACATCTCAACCTTCGCCTGCGACCGCGAGAGAAGCGAGGTTCAGCAGCGACAACAAAACAGGGGGAAAATCACCTGAGAAAGACGGGCGGCCAGCGACAGCCGCAAATCCGGCCCCGCCGCTGCCGGAGGAGGCCAAGAATGGCCGATTAAGGAGACGCTGCAGTGTAGGGTTTGAGAAGAAGGAAATCGTCTGCGGCGTGAAAATTTGCAATTGTAGAAAAGATAAAAAGTAAATAATCTTGCTTACTAAATAAGAAAACTTTTTGAGTCATTTTTTTTTTTAAATTATTGGTAAATTTTCTTTATTATCTGCGATGAGACTTTTATTTTTGTTTTAGTAATCTGATATCAATATCTGATATCAATCTATTGATTGACTTTTTAGAAATAATTTAGTCATTTATTTTATTTCTATATAATCTATTTTTATTTTAATTCTTAGTTATGCAATACCAACAACTTGAGATTAATCTTTTAAAAAATTATAATTAATTATTAGCTTCCACATAATTTAAAATTTTATTTTATTAGAAAAATGTAAGTTAATGGATATAGTTATAGATTAATCATTCAAGAGTAATTATTTGTAAATCAGTATATAGGGATTAGCTCAAATGCGGCCGTTTATTTAAAGTGAAGACGTGATGCTCATTTTTAGCCACAAGATTTGGTACATCAGGTGTGGCCAAGATTTACTCTCTTCTTTTTATTATTTTAATTTTAAATATTATTTTGACCCGTTGACTTCCGGCGTTGACTGTTGACTTCCGGTGAAATCGGTTGACTTCCGGCGTTGACTCTGACGTTGACCGTTGACAACTAACATTCCAACTAGGTTAGTTCTCTGTAGTTACTAAGTTAGTTCTATGTAGATCTAGAATAGTTCTCTACAGTTGCTTGGTTAGTAATCTGTAGTTGCTAGGTTTTTTAAACAAACAACGCCCCGAAAGGGCAGGGGATTGAGCTGGATCCCCAACCTGTGCATAGATCAACGCCCCAAAACGGGGCCCTAAATATCAAAGGCTGCAGTCTACAAGGTCTCACGAGCAAATCAAAAGGCCAAAAAGAAATAACAATACAAAGTCTGTCTACGGGCTAACAGGTGCCCGGAATAAAAATCTGATCTAAAGAAAGCAGTAAACTTAATCTACTGAAAGCGGAAAGATGGATATCCAAGCTGGTCCATCCGAACAATCGTGCGAAGGCGGAGAGGAGCAGTGTCAGTCTGAAACGCGTTTGTGTCTGATATGGTGGCGCAAAGGCTGACAAGGTAGTCAGCAGGTCTGTTCCCCTCACGGAATATATGCGTGATCCTGTGATGGACAGACCGATGTAGAGCTCTAATGCGCATAAGCGGGTGTTGAATCTGCCACGAGCCCTGGTGGCCCGAAGTTAGGAGGGTGACGACAGCCGCAGCGTCTAGCTCGATCCAAATATGACTAGAGAGGTGGACAGCAATCTTAAGGCCAATCTGTAATGCTTGAATTTCTGCGTCGTAGCTCGAGGAGGCCTGAAGGGACGTGTGGAAGCGGGTGATGAGAGCTCCACTGTGGTCCCGGATCAAGCCTCCTCATCCGGCATGTAACGCCCAGATTTTTATGTACTATTTATGGAGCTCGACTATATTTCCATAAATATTAAGTTTCTAAATTTGATGCATTATTTATATTTATTTGCATTAAATTAAACAATTAGTATTAAAGTCTAAGCCATGAAAAATTCATTCGATTTTAGATATTAAAATCGAAACTTCATTTAAGCGAACCGTTGTCGGATAATTTGATTATTCAAGCCCAATTAATTTTCGAGAGAATCCAAATAATTTTAGTCGGCCATTTTTAATTCGAATAGTCGAATTAATTTCCAAGCCCAAGTGATATTTTAAATATCGAGCCCTCGTAGTATTTTAACTCCGGACCCAATATTAATTTTCGACCCAAGTCGAAATTATTACTACAAGCCATCATATTTTTTAATTAACCGACCCTATTATATTCCTAAGTCTAGTCTAGTAATTATTCGGCCCAAGTCGAATTTAATTATCGAGCCCAATTCGAGTAACATTTATAGCCCGACTTTAGTAATTGTTAGGCCCGATTTTAGGCCCAACAAGAACAAAACCCTAAGCTCCCCTACACCTTCTATAAATAGATTGTCTCCCCTTTTCCAACAACAAAAACCCTAGCACACAAACTACTATTCATCTTCTTCTACCTTTAGACTTGAGTTCATTTTTTCAAGATCCAAGCATTTAGCACTTTCATTTTTCAAGATCTTGTGTTAAAAACAACAAGATGTCTTAGTTTATTCAAGATCTAGTTGCAAAAATAAAAAACCCACTTTCAAAACACCAAGAAAATGAAGCTTTCTTCCATCTCCAACATGTCTTGAACCATTTTCGGCGAGACCATCTGTTTTCCGGCGAACCACCGGCCGGCGACCTCAGTCCAAGCTCAGCCCGACTCCAGCTCCTCGTACACGGGCCCGTTCAGCAAACTCCAGCTCCAATCCGCGACCAAGACCCACCTGCAGCTCCGTCCAGCCAAGCTCGCAGCTCCTCCGCG